TTTGGTCGAATACCTATATAGTTCTTGCGCCTAAGGGCATAACTATTACGTGCTCCCGAAAAATTGGAATTCATTTGTCCTATCTTAGAGATATAGGCCGAGAAAAATTAGGTATTCTTCAACTTCAACACCCTGTATCTCGTAAACTAGTCATAGGATTGAGTTGGGACTTGGCATATTCAATCAGTATGTCGAGTACTATCATTTACCAAAAATTGGGGAAATTCGACGGAACGCCATTTTTATATAGAAAAAGTGCGGGGTCCTTTAGCAAATTTAGCAAATGTAGCAAATGTAGCAAATTTAGCAAACCCAGCAAACTCAGCAACTTTAGCGAACCTAGCAGACCTTGCAAGTTGGCCAAACTAGCCAAATTTATCAAAATTAGCAAATCTAGAAAATTTCACAAATCCAGCAAATCTGGGATCCCTAGCACATTCAGCAACTTTAGCAAAGCTAACAAATTTGGCCAATTTAGCAACTTTAGCAGATTTAGCAAATCTAGAAAATTTAGCAAATTTAACAAAGTTGGTCAATTTAGCAAATACAGCAAAGTTGGCAAATTTAGCACTTCTAGCAAGTCAGCGAATGTGGCAGATCTTCTAATTCCCATTATACTAGAGTTCAAGCATATATAGAAAATCGAACAATTTTAGCAGGTTCAGCAAATTTCAGCAAATACAGCAATCTTCACAAAATGGTCACATATATGGCTGCTACAAAGTTAGTATAGCAAATAAGACTAATTCAGCAAGTTTAACACATTTAGCAAATGCAGCAACCTTAGCAAAATGACCATCTAAATGGCTGCTTCGAAGTAAATATAGCCAATAGAGCTAATTTAGCGAGTTTAGCACCTTTAGCAAATTTAGCAAATTTAGCAAATGTGGGTAAAGCTAAGCATTGAGCATTATGAAATAATTAATGGTCATTAAAAACTTGCGTGTCGTCAGTGGTGCAGCTCTTCAATGGTGTCACCCTGTATAAGTGAAGAGGTGGGCCTCACGGTCCCGGTGAACTCTCTTAGGCGCTGTTGGATTGGTGATAGTACCCTTGTTCCAATAGAAACGCCCTGTACAATGCCATGTATGATGTTGGAGGTTGGTTTGGTATCCAAAATAAAAACCCTAGGAATAAATGATCCAATTACTATCTCTACCCAGAAATAGATACCCCAATAGACTCAAATTTAGTCCTAATTACCATGGACTAATGAAATTGATAAAAAAAACAAAATTTGATTAATGCTTCACCAAACTATAGAAATCAAACAAGCAACTGGTTTACCTAACCCAGTGTTATTCTTCTTGTTGAACTTTTATTCTCCATTTCAAAACATATAATGATATGAAATACCTAACCAGTCATATTCACTGTATAATATTAGAAAAATAGGAACAACTAGACCAGCTACGTTCGAAAAATAACAAGCTGTTACTCACAGACTGTCCTGTGATTTTTCCCAAGCCATAAAAAAAAGAATCAACAATTCTCCATGAAATATTTAGGAAAATCAACTTACCCTGGCCAAGAGGTTTGTTTTTATCCTTTTGTTATTTATGTCAATAACGTTGACAGTGCATAAACGGGTGGATCAACATCTGGTAAGTGATAATAGGCCTTATTGCATCTGTCCTTAAGGAAATGACGATACCTACCATGAATTCTATCGACAAGGAAAAAAAATGCTTCGTTAGATTCTGGAAACACGGGTTCACCACAAAGATAGCACAACACAAAAAAAATGCAAAAGGTAGTCCACATACCTAAGTATACAACTGGTATCCTGAGGGAGCAGCTCGGATAACTTCACGTGAGAGAGTTTGGCAAAACTTCAGATCCTCGTAACGAGTCCAATTTGGGTCAGCATTCCAAAATATCCACAAAATATCAACCAACTGACACCGACATCGGTAAATATAGTCAACAAAAATAATCCCCTTGCAGGATGATACCAATAATCAAAATTTTGTGACTAACGTTTCGCCATTACTCTAACTCCCAACCACTAGAAGTCAAAATGAATGAATACCCCCAGAACACCACAGGTGTCGCCTCGAGCAACCACTTGTCAAAAGAAGGCCACAGAACAATGAACTATGGTGACGTCACTCCATCTTGGTGCAATAGATGTCGACACTAAAGAAGGTAACCTATCCGCCTAAAATTCCCTTCAGGATGAAAGACTTGATGAACAGCACTCTGGTACTCTCCATACAGCAAACCGGGTGAGTATACGTAGCTATATCCGCTAAAATATAATTTTACAATCCAGGAATTTATATTTCCAGATATGGCAACCCTGCACTAGAGATTGGCACTTACTAATGGATCGATACGAATGATCAGCGCCCAGCTCTTTCACGTCTGTCATAAATCAGACTTCATCACTTGACGCCCATGACAATAATGTCATGTATGTCATGATGTCAAGTCAAATGATGTAACAAACAGCAGCTCGCTGTGTAAACAAAGAAAAATAAATCGTATCCAAATATTCTTCGATTATACCAGCCTGATACGATTAGAAGCGAATAAACATTGGATTCAACCAACTATCTGGTAAGTCTGAAAGTCAACTTAGTACCTACATCTTACAAGTCTCTATACAATCTCGCCTATAGTCTGCTACCATACTCAATTGATCAATACCTAAGTAAATAATTATGTTTATAATTATGTTTTCAGGGTTCATAGCGGCGCTAACTACACCGAAACCGATGAATAAAGAATCGATGAGTGTGTTGAAATGCTACGAAAGCCAGGTGAGCCATTATTTGGAAGCAGTGCCGAAAAACCTGTTAGACACACAGATCTACTTCAGGAATACCTATCACACGAAAGACGGATAGAAGAATACCTTTTTTTGCGTTCATTGTGCTGTGAGAATAACAATAAATAAATTTAGGTACAGGGTGATCGAAAGGCGAGTTTTATTTATTCTATTTTTCTTGGTTGTGTAACGAAATGAGTTAACGTGGAAATTGCTGCCCTTTGCTGGCCAATTTCATATTCACTACCCGTCCCCCTGGTGGATGTTTTGGGAACGTCTACATCAACAATCAGCTGATCAATATCATATGTGACTAAAGGCGAGTTCATGTAAATGCGAATCGCGAATTGCGAATTGCGAAATTCGCTAAAAAAAAATATCTTTTTTAATTTCAATTCATGTACCTACGAAAGTTTTAACGGTTTTGACAGGATTCTAGAGACATTTATTATTTTATATTTCGCGGTAAGCATTTTTGACTGTCACACTGACAGTGCCTGTCACGTGCTGTCACCCCAAGAATAAACAAAGTAACCACACAATACATTTTGTTTATAAAAATTTCTAACAAAAATTATATTTGAAATGGATTTGTTTTATTGGCAAAGAAGGCGAGCAGTCGCGGCTTATTTATTATTGAAAAGGAGACGGAATAGAATACATAGGACAGTGGACGTTTGCGAAATATTTAAATACAGGAAACAACAAGGTGCTTATCACAATCTAGTAAAGGAAATGCGCCTTAAAGATGAAAAAAAGTTTAGGAATTATCACAGGATGTCTATGGAAGATTTTGATTTGCTATTAGAAAAAGTTTCTCCCATTATCAGTAAGATGTACTATGCAAGGGAACCAATTTCACCAGGAGAGATGTTATCAGCTACACTCAGGTATATGTATATTGTATAATAATGTGTTATTAAATTATTGTTCTTACCTATACAATAATAATTAAGAATAAAGTTGATATAATTTTAGATACTTAGCAGCAGGTATGAGCATGAAAAGTATTTCCTACAATTACAGATTGGGACTGAGTACTGTATCCAATATCATACGAGATACTACTTCTGCAATTTGGGAAGTTTTGAATATTGAATATTTACCAATTCCAACAGAAGAGAGATGGAAAGAAATTGCGAAAGGTTTTGAGACAAAATGGAACTTTCCAAATTGTGTGGGAGCCATTGATGGGAAACATATTAGGATTCAGGTTGTAAACATTTTTTTAATGTAAGTGTTCCTTCATTACAGTTTTTATTTGTAGGCTCCCCCAAAAACTGGATCAGATTTCTTTAATTACAAGGACTTCTTTAGCATTGTGCTATTAGCTGTTTGTGATGCAGATTATTGTTTTACTGCTGTTGATATTGGTGCAAAAGGGAGGCAAAGTGATGGAGGAATATTCCGAAGTAGCAATTTTGGACAAAGGTTTTATTCAAATTCCTTAAACCTGCCTCCTCCAAGAAAACTTTGGGAGGAAAGTGAACCGTTGTCCTACTGTTTTGTTGCTGATGCAGCTTTTCCATTTAGCACCAATTTAATGAGACCATACCCTGGCAATTTTCTTCCCCTACAGGAAAGAATTTTCAACTATAGGTAAATTATAGCCTACAGCTTACAGTATTACAAACTGCTTCAAATTTCAGACTATAAACTTATACATTATACAAATTATATGATTATAGATAGATAGATTGCTTTATTCAGAGAAGTGTACTCATATATTTTACAATACACAAATAATATTATTATGTTACAGATTGAGCCGTGCAAGGAGGATAATTGAGAATACATTTGGCATTCTTGTTGCCAAATGGAGGATACTAGAACGTCCAATTATTGCAAAATTGCAAACAACTGAGAAAATAGTTGGTGCATTGGTTTGTTTGCATAACTTTTTAAAAAAGCGTGATTTAGAAAAAGCAGCACACATAAAATACTGTCCCCCCAATTATGTTGATACAGAAAGTGGGACAGGAGAAATTATTGAAGGGGAATGGAGGACTTCAGTTCAGAATAGATTGGCAAGTGTACGAAGAATGGGAGGAAATGCATATGCCCGAAGAGCAAGTGCTATGCGCTCTCTGTTAATGGATTATTTTTTAAATATAGCTCCAATTGATGTACAATGGTTGAAATAAATTTTTTTATATCAAAATACAAATTTATTATTTTTGAAGCTAACAGAAATATTTACTGATACTAATGAAAAAACTGATTACATTTAAGAATGTTCAGCATACAGCTGGTAAACTCTGTTTAAGAAATCTATTTCTGCCTCCATCCTAATCCTCTGTGGCATTTTGTTGAGCACTTCCTGTACTGCCATCAAAGCAGGACTAATTGCAGGAGCAGCATGACTTGTAGGAGCTGGCTGCTGTAGAATTTCCATCAGTAGTTGATCACTTTGATCTAAAATATGGATATTAATACTTAACGAGATCAAAAATCATAGGGTTACCTCTTTTTCTTTGTCTCTTGTTTCTGGATGTTGTGATGTCAGGGCTGTTGATTACTGTTTTCGACTCGATTTTTGAGGTCTTTGGTGTCAAAAGGTCTGGTGTTTTTGAGGTGCTTGGAGCCGAAAGGTCGACTTCTGTTTCCACCATTTCAAAGTTGCCAAATGTTTTTCTGTTAGAATTTACATTTGCCAAGAAATACATACATTCAAAATGTTTCCATTTCTTCTTTTCATCTACACCTCCTCCAGATGGCTTATATGTTCTAAAAAAATATCTAACTGAATAATGAATATATATATTTTTTCTTTAAACTATAAGTTTAATGCATAAAAATTACTTTAAATGTTTAAGGAAAGTATCCTTAAGATTTTTCCATTTTTTCTCAATAATGTCTAGCGGGATCATCCTATCAATTTCTTCATACACTTCCCTCCACATCTTTTCCCTAATATCCTTTCCTCTCTCCTTGAGAGGCAGTGTATGGTCCCATAGAGCAGGACGTGCTTGTACAGCTTCGGCCAATTTAGCCACATTGATTTCTTCCGGAATCTGTCTGGTAGCAATTTCTTGATGGTTAGCTGCTGGGGTGTCGCACATGTGATATTGGTAATCTTCCACAGGAAAAACGGCTCCACATTCCGCACATTCGACCTGGTACAAAAAGAAATAATTTCATCATAACAATATTCCACAACACAGTGAGGCCGGATTTTATAGAAAGATAGGTATTTATGTCTTTGGTATCTATACTATGTTTTTTACTTTTATAATTTATAGAGTAATATAATTGAGTATATGTATCTTACCTCTTCACATTCATACATCTTATTAATCGTTTATCGTTTATTATATTCAATTGAAAATCCTAACCTATATTAACCAAAACGTTACCAAAACTAAAAACCACAACAAATCTGAAACAATAACAAACATTTGTAGGCACTACTACGCGTACTACGCATGCGTTCACACAAAAAATCTGCGATATTCGCCAAAATATTAAAATAATTTCAAGATTCTTGCCCCCCAGATTTCAAATAATGCGAATTCGCAAGAAATTAAACTTGACATCTGTCAAAATTTCTACTTCGACATGATTTTGATATCGACCAATGGGAGCCAGCTTCGCAATTCGCAATTCGCGATTCGCATTTACGTGAACTAGCCTTAAGATGGCTGACTCTCGTTAGTGGTAATCGCGTACTAGTTTGTTTATGTCGAATTGATGTGGTCCTCTCTGTCCGTGGTGGTTATTTATGATGGCAGTAGTATTCCCAATCGATAATAATGGAACACAGATTCTTCAATTATGATAATATTGAGTAAGTATCAATGTACCTACATAGTGTTTTGAATTTAATTATTTAATGCATGTGTTTGGTATCTCGTAACCTCATATACCTAATGATCATGATAATTGGAGTTAACTATACTTCTCTAAAAGCAACCATCATTTTTAACTCGTTTGTTGCTATCAAAAGCAATCTCAGATTATGTGAACCTATCTCTATATCAAAGAACTGAATAACAATAAGATTTCAGCTACAGAATTACCTGTGCCAAGACCATAATGAGAATTGAAAAGCTCCATGTTATCACGTCATTTGACTATATTATCAAGTTATTAACTCAAAACTCATGCAACTCGTAGGCCACTAATATAAAACAAATGATGCATTTTATATTTCAGAAGTACCTCACAACAAAGAATCAACTTCGAAGGAATGCTACCCAATAAGATGTATAGATACCACACACCAACCAGTAAGCAGTCACTCCGAGAAGTTTCATCGTTGAAGAACAGAGAGGTTAAGAAGATATCATTGTGTCATTCATGAAATTGTTTTCTTGAAATCTGGTATGTGTAGTGTTCTGAGGTGCTGATGTATTGTTACATTTTGATTTATAAGATAAACACGTTTGTTGATCTTCCATAATGGTTTTAATCTAACACCGAAACATGTATCGTTAACAACCACATCTGACATCATCATGAACTCGCTGATCAAGTACCAACGTTTCCGCTTTAATGACACATGCCAGAAGGCATAAGGCGGGAGATTCAAATGAACAGATAATATTGGACACTACATCCCTCCTCTACTTTAAATAGAAGATTGATTAAGAATACATTAACTACATTCAACACAACTAAAATAGTTATTTGAAACAAAATATATATAAAAAATGTTGACAAGTAACTTTGAATTTGAAATAATAAAATGACTGAAGATTTTGAAAGGAGGATGTTTTGAAACAGTTATTAGTCCATACATTCATAGTCTCGAAGATAAGATGGTCGTCGGATCAGCCGCTCTGGTCGTAGAGTGGGTGCTGATGCTGTCATGGCTTGTCCTATTTTCCTCTTCTGATGGATTTAGGTATGTATTCGAGGATTCTGGACCGTCAGATGTTGCCAAATCTGAATTACTCGACATTTCAGAATAAGGACTAGAAGATGCTTCTGGGTCTGGACTAGCTAATGTCTCTTCACTGAATGAGACGTCTGGTGAATTTACTTGTTGTATGGGTGTCTGTCTGTATCTGATATGTACTGTTTGAATGGGGTTTGTTTGAATTGGATTGGGAGAATGCAAGTTTTCTGCTTGTGATGGTGTGCGTGCGTTCAAATGATTGAATAATTTAAAATGTGATGAATTCCTGTGGATCACTTTCTCTCCTCTTCTTGCAGATATCTTGGTTCCATTGATCTTTATAACAATGAATGGATAGGGATCATAGGTGGATGTAAGACAGTTTTGTTGGATCTGTTTACATAAAACTTGATCTCCTACCTGGAACTTGTGGTTTCTTGTGTTTCTCCTCTTGTCCGCATATTCTTTGAACTTTTGTTTCATCTTCTCATCTTGAGTGGGTTCAATTTCTTTTTCATCCTCAATACTTGGTAGAAAATTGTTAATGTCCCGTTGAAAAATAGCCTGGAAGGGTGATATACCTGATGTTGAATGTGGAGTGCTACGGTAGTTCAACAGAAACTGATTGATCTGGGAATCGAATTTGGTGGATTCAATATTAGCACATTTCAAGGATTTCTTTAATGTCTTCACAAATCTTTCTGCCATCCCATTGGCTTCTGGCCAGTAAGGTGTTATTCTTTTGTGTTTAATGTTGTATTTCTCAAGAAAGTTTTTCATCTCTCGTCCACTAAAGGGAGGGCCATTATCGGATTTGATTGACTGAGGGATTCCAAAAGTGGAAAATGTCTTTTCTAGGATTGGTTTCAAATGAAAAAAACTGGTAGATGGCACAACTCCTACAATGGGGTACCTTGAGTATTCATCTATCAAAATAAATACATATTTTCGATTAGGAAATGGACCTGCATAATCAACGTCCAGTGATTCAAATGGTTGTTTTGGTAAAGTTGTTGTTATGATAGGATCTCTCTTGTTAGCAGGGACAACTGCTTGGCAAGATTGACAACTGCCTGTAAATGTTTCAACTATTTTATCAATGTTTGGGAACCATACTTTTGTTCTCAGCAACTGTTTGGTTTTTACCACTCCTTGATGTCCCTTATTGTGTGCTAATGTGATGGCTCTTTTTTGCAATGTTTGTGGCAGCACAATCCTTCTTCCCCTTAATACAATATTGTTTTCAAATGTCAATTCTTCTTTCATTTTCTAAAAAATTGCTAATTCAGGTAGTTCCCAATTCTTATAATCAGTTGATTTCATTGCTTCTATTAGCTTCACTAAAATTTTGTCTTCTTTAGTGTGTTCTCGGACCTCTTCTGTTGACATTTTCCTTGGGATTCCATTTTCTATGACGAAGTTAACATATTGTTCAACTTTATCTACTCTTGACTGCTGTTGATGTTTAGGGTATCTTGACAAGTAATCAGATGGGTTTGTTTCACCTTTTTGATGCACTGTGTTGAATTGATATGATTGGATTCTCATAATAAGTCTCTCTATCCTAGCACTTGGAGCTGATCTGGTGTTTTGTAGTTTTTTTACAAGTGGTAAGTGATCACTATTAAAGTAAAAATAGCTCCATATAGGTAAATGTGAAAGTGCTGAATGGCCCATGTTGCAGCAAGTGTCTCTTTCTCAATTTGGCTGTATCTGCTCTCTGTGTCTGATAGTGTTCTGCTGGCATATGCCACAATGTTTGTTACATTATTGAATTCCTGAGATAACACTGCACCTAGTCCATTAGGGCCTGATGCATCTACATAAAGGTGAACTGGCTTGTTTATGTCAAAGTATGCTAACTTTTTCACATCATTTAGTTGCCTTTTCAAAAATTGAAATGCTTGATCATGGTCTGCAGTCCAGTTCCATTCTGATTTCTTGTGAATCAATTCTCTCAAAATTTTTGTATTTTCAGCTAGGTTAGGTAGAAATTTGCCTACATAGTTCAGCATTCCGAGTAAGCTTCTCACTTTACTTGGGTTCTGGGGAGATTTTAAATTCACAAAACTCTGTACTTTATCAGGATCAGGGTGAACTCCTTCTCCAGAAAAGATATAACCAAAAAATTTGGTCTTGATAACACAGCTTTCAGTGATTTGTTGTGTTCTTGTTTGGAACGTCCATGAATTAAAATATCATCACTGAGATTTATCACACAAGGTATATTGATCAGAACTTGCCTTATTGTGTTTTGGAAGATCTCAGCAGCTGCATTTATGCCAAAGTTCAAACGTTTGTAACGATATAACCCCACATGAGTTGAAAAAGTGGTTATATACCTGGAGTGTTCACTCAATGTCAATTGATGATAACCATCTTTCAAGTCAATTTTACTGAACACTACTGAGCTATTCACTTTTCACTTGTTCTATGATGTCATCAATAGTTGGTGTTAAATGTCTTTTCCTCACAATGGCCTTATTGGGAGCTCTCATATCAATACAGATGCGAATTGCATCAGGAGTATTCTGTTTTGGCACTATAACTAGAGGTGAGACCCAAGGTGTTGGTCCCTCTGCCTTCTCGATGATATCTTGTTCCTCTAGGCGTGATAGTTCTTTTTCTACTATTTCACGAAGATGAAATGGTATACGTCTGTGTTTAAGTGCAACTGGTACAATATCTTTGTTAATGTGGAGATTAACTTCTATGTTTTGAAGTTTTCCCACCCCAGAAACAATATTTGGATAATTTTCTGTCACAAAATCAAAGTCAATGTCCTTGTTAGTGTTATGGGTCACTTTTACTAAGTTGAGTTTTGTTGATGTGTCAAAACTCAACAGGGATTCACAGTTTCCTTTGATCACATACACAACAGCTTCAGCTTCAGTGTTATTTCCACAGAAATGTCCAGTGAATTTGCCTTCAACTTTCTAACTTCTGATTAGAACAATAAGGGAAAATTTTGCTATCACTGCTTACTAATGTTTGTTCAGGGAGTTTTTGGAATGTCTCTGAGCTTATTAGATTCACAGTAGTTCCTGTATCTATTATGAATTCTAGTTTTGTATTGTTCAAATACTAATGGTTGCTGTTGGAAAGTTGACACTGTTTACCGAAATATGAAAAGATTGTTCATCAGAGCTACTGTCTTCTTTATTAAAATGCACTTTTCTTTCACTAAATGTCTTTTTTTGATAACTGTCTCTTGTTTGATGGTTGTTGTTGCTCGATGTAGATGCTTCATTGTTGTGATATTTGTTGCTAGTTGTTGTTTTATATTTCTTGCTCATGCATACTTCAGAGAAGTGCCCCTGTTTACCACATTCATGACATGTAACTTTCAAAGCTGGGCAAGTGCTTCTTCCCTTAACATGCCACTGATTTCTACAATTGTTACATGTTTTAGACCTGGTAGTCTGGTTTGGACAGATATGATGAACTTTGTGGCTGGCTTTTGTAGAGTACTTTGTTGACACTTTCTTGACTGGTTCCTTCCATTTGTTTTATCTGTGTTT